TTTTTTTTCAATTCATGCATCATTTAAGCTTGTTATGACAATAAAGAAGAAGCCCCGGTGGCACAGTGGTTAAAAGCTTGGCTGCTAACTGAAAGGTTGGCGGTTCAAACCCACTGGCCACTCTGCTCTGTGGGAGATGTGGCAGTCTGCTTCTGTAGAGACGACAGCCTTTGAAACCCTCTGGGGCAGCTCTACTTTGTCCTACAGGTTGCCATGAGTCAGAACCAACTCTGTGGCAGTGGGTATAATGATAAATATTTACCAATCTTTTCTAATGGGTACCTGCAATTTTAACACATTTTATTGAAATATAATTTATGTACAGAGAAATACACAAAACTAAAGTGACATGGGTCTATGCACTTATAATTTTTGAAATGCCAAAAATGAAAACTGTCCCAACCCCCTGGCCTTGTCTGCTCTAATAACAGATGTTTCAGGAACTCAGAGGAGCCCGTCTCAGCGTCCATGACGACGTTTTCTTGGCAGCATCCAAGGTGCTACCAGCTGGCAGCTAATCAGAATTAAACGGACCTGCTTAACTGATTTTTTGATCACCAAGTGCTGCACACAGCACGCACCAAGGCAAGGAATCCAAAGAGTCCTTCTTAAAAAGTATGCAATTTCCCCTTAAGAATAAATCCGGTTGTGGTTTTAAATATTTTAAATAGATCTCTAATTGCTTCCTGTGAAACCTGGGCCTGTGCATCAGGTGGCAGCCTTACATAACTGGCTTTACATACATCTACGGAGCCCTCTACAAAGGTAATATTAAAATTAGTATTCGTATTCCAAAATATCAAGCCAGGAAGAGCAGTGGTGGAAATGTACCAGAAAACTCCAGAACTTCCCAAAAGAACTTTTCCAAACCCCCCACATTTCAAAACACTGGTCTTGTCTCCTGGTTTGGATGATAAATGATGAGAGAGCTGAATTTATAGTTTTCTTTTGCCTGGCAGAGCCCCACCAGAGCAACTTCAGAGCCTCGAGTGGGTAATCCCAGCTCTGCCAGTTACCAGGCTGTGGCCTTGGGCGAGTCACATCCTGTCTTCATCTGCCCCAACTCTCGGAATGATGTCGGGACTCTAGGAGATAATCTCAGTTCTCCAGATTCCAGGACAGAAATGCCACAGGCGGCGGCTACAACACACGGGGACCTGTTTGCTCACGGTTCCCGAGGCTCAAAGTCCGAACGCGGAGCACTGGCTACTGGGGAAAAGGCCACCTTGCTCTCTGTCCCGGTCTCTTTTCAGCTTCCTTCCTCCACTCCTTGGCCATCTCTCCCTGGCTGGGTATCTGTCCATCCCCATAATCTGCTTTTAGATCCAAAAGTGACTGGCCTCATTACCATAATAAAGAAAACCTGTTTCAAATGCCATTACATCCCCAGGTGTGGGGGTCAGGGTTTCCGGTACATATTTTGGGGCAGTGACACAATTCAATCCCTAACACACCCCTCAACCGAGGAAAGGCAGGGCAGCACACGTGGCCCCCGTTTCAGTCAGTAGACCGTGGCCTGCTGGCCAGTCTTAGCCTGGTTTCCTCGGCTGTACAATGGCCTAATAGCCCCCCCCCCCGGGTTCCTCAGGACCATCAGCTGAGATACGACTGAGGGCAGGAAGAAAGCTCCCAGCACAGTGCGCGCGCGGGACACCGGCCGGCGCTGTCAAGGTCCACTCCCTTCACGTGAGCGCTTTCCAGAGAAATATGCAAGAGAAAGAGTAGGGACAGGATGCAGGAAAAGTACTAAGCCGGAAGGCCAGGCAGTGCAAAAACGCCACCTCCTGTGTGAGCTAAGGGTCTCCGAGGGCGGGCTTTACACTAACTTTACCCAAGAGCTTGGTCTTTGCCCTTGGTTCCTGAGACACAATATCGAAAACAAAAAAGTCTTGGAACTTAATAATGACTCCACACCACACCTAGCAGACAGGTTAGGCGAGGGGATGAGGTGAGTCTAGGTTAGGGGCTGGCCAGTCCAGAAAGACCACCCATGGTAGCAGCCAACCTCAGGAGGGGCTGAAGTCTGAATTATGTAATGAGACTCCCAATAAATGCTCTGGGCACAGAACTCCATAGGCTTCGTGGTGGCGAGAGACATTCACGGTTACTGACAGCGACCTTAGGCCCAACAGGAGACCCTGCCCAGTACCGCACCCCCCTCCCAACTGCTGCTCCGTTTGAGCCCACTGTGCCAGCCACTGTGTTAACCCATTTCGTTGAGGGTCCTCCTCTTTTTCACCGACCCTCTACATGCCAGGCATGATGGCCTTCTCCAGAGACTGGTCCCTCCTGGCAACACGTCCACAGTACGTGAGACCAAGTCTCGCCATCCCTGCTTCTAAGAATCCTGCCTGTACTTCTTCCAAGACAGCTGTGTTCATTCTGCTGGCGGCCCATGGTATAGTCCATATTCTTCAGCAACAGCATCATTCAAGGGCATCAATTCTTTTCCAGTCTTCCTTATTCACTGTCCAGCTCTCACATGCATATGAGGCCAACGAAATTACCATGGCTTGGGTCAGGCCTCGAAGCGACATCTTTGCTTCTTAACACTCGTAGTAGAGTGCCCCATCTGGGGACACGGGGCGTCATGGAGGGAGCCCTCCCAGACCTTGCCCCATGCATCTCTTCCCTCCACCGACACTGCCTCGTGTCCTTTACAACAAAGCTGTTAACTCCAAGTATGGCACTTTCCGCGAGCTTCGTGTCTGTCCAGTGACGCATCAGACACAGCAGGCCGGACGTCAGGGAGCCAGGGAGGAGCCCCGAGCTGGTGGCTGCTGTCTGACTATGTGGCAGTCTGAAAGATGATGTCTTTTTACTGTGAGATCTCACCGAGCTCCAGGTGGCGAGGGTCAGAGAAGGGAGAGCTGCATGGGCAGCTGGAGGCAGAACTGAACGGACGTGAGAAGCCGGGATTCGATTCACGCCAATTATGACCCACCCCGCCAAGCTTCCTGCTCTGTGTTTTACATAAATGATCTCTTTCAATCTTTGCAAAGCGCCTATGAGGTGGTACAATTATCCCTGTTCTCTACATGAAGGCACTAAGCTCAGAGAGGTTCAGGAACTTATCCAAGGTCACAGGGTTAGCAGGTGGTGGAGCCAGGATTTCCAGGAGTTTCTAGGAGTCCCAAGCCCAGGTTCTCAACCACATGCCACTCGAGTCCTTCTCCAGAGGTGACGCCTATGGCTGACCTCCATCACTCCTGCCCATGAGCTACAAGTCCCTGCACCACACGGTACTCTCCTCGGCTTCAACATTCATACACACGGTGACATTTACATAGCTACCTTCTAGCAACTTGCTGTCACTGAAAACTGTCTTCTGAGGTCTAGTCATGTCAAAACATGTAGTTCACTTTAACTGTAGTTCTATTTTCCGTTATACGACTAAATGACAGTTTGTTGGTCTAGCATGGTACTAACAGACAAAGCCCACTTCTTGCATTTTTTCTTCTTGCGATGAACATGCTTACATATGCCTCCTAACACACATGTTCAGGGGTTGCTCCAGACCAGGGGGTGGCACACTATGGCCTGTGAGCCAAATCCGTTCCACTTCCTGTTTGTGGAAGTAAAGTTTTACTGGAACTTGGCCACACTTGCTTGTTTACGTATTAGCCATGACTGCTTCTACACAACAGCAGAGCTGGGTGGTGGTGTTACTCTGAAGCCCTTAACAGGGAGTCTGCCAACCCCCGCTCCAGGTTGTACAGCTAGGAGTGAAGCAGCTAGATCTTAGACTAGGTTCACCTTCAACTTGACTGGGCAGTTACCCCTCCAACGTTTTAAATTCCATGACACTGTAAAGTTGAGCATATTTTAAAATTCTCATTGGAATAAGCATCCAACAGTAAAATAATTGGTAAATAAAGTTATTAATTCAACAAAAATCGGAGTCCCTAATCTGTCAAACATTATTCCCAATGCAAGGAATTCAATGGTGCCTTGTTGTGTGGGAGCTCTGGTAGCATAGTGCCTAAGGCATTTGACTGCTAACCAGAAGGCTGGCAGTTCAAACCCACCAGCCACTCCTCGGAAGGAAGGTTGGGCAATCCTACTTCCGTAGTGATACTGCCTTGGAAACCCAAGGAAGGGTCGCTATGAGTCGAGGACTCCACGGCACATAACAACAACTGTTGTTGCGTGCTGTGCAGTCGATTCTGACTCAGAACAGAATAGATCCGTCCCATAGGGTTTTGCAGGCTATATATGTGTGTATATATATACACATACACACACACACACACGTATATACACACTTATACCTATATATATACACATATATTTTATTTTTGTCAGGGCTTTCTTCCACAGCACTGCAGGGTGGGTTCGAATCGTCAACCATTAGGTTAGTAGTCAAGCACTGGGAAAATGGTGGCACGGCCAGCCCCTCCTCTAACTTCATGAGGGGGAAGAATCAAGATCAACATCAACCCAAGGTGGATCCCTATGAGGCAGGAGCCAAACATGCCGCCACCCGCCAATCTTTTTTTTTTTTTTTCCCCCTACCAATTCTGAAACTAGCTATCCCTCCCACGACAATTTCTACTTCTCTACAGGGTTCAATAATTTGCTACAATGGCTACACAGAACCCAGACTATACTCTCAATTATGAGACTTAATAGGGAAGTAACAGGTCACTTATTCAGGATACAGCTCCTTGGCTGTGCCCACAGGCAGGCTTCTCCCTCGGCCCCCGAGCCCCCTGGGCTAGCCCATGCGGCCTGGACAACTGTTCCAAAGCTCTTTCGGTCTGTTGATAAGTGCCCAGCTCCACACCACACCACTCCCCCAGGCAGCCTCCCGGCCCAAGGTCCTCAGCTCTCTGACTCCACGGGTCAGCAAGCTCACTGTAATCACCTTGCTCTGGGGGACGGGGTGCACCCTGCACCATCTTGCCCTGGGCTCCCGGTTCTCCTGCTGCCGTTTCCCTGCCACGGCTTCTCAACGTCAATGTTTCAGCTCTGTCTGCTGGGTCTAGGAGGTTTCAGGGCAGGGACCCCAGTCCAAAGGATGCACTCCATTCCCTGTTCCTCAACTTGGTAGTAGTGAGATGCCCCTTTCCATCTCTGGAAGGGCTAGTGGGATGGCAACTGACCAATCTCCTCCTTAGAGCTCCACACACTTTATTGGCATGGTGCCACCCAAGGACACCATGCACCTCGCTGGCATTATTAGCAAGCTGCCTAATCCCCTCAGTGGGCCACAGCACCTTATTTGTACAGTCCCACCCAATCAAGGATTGGGCGAGCCTGAGTTTCCTTCTGTGTTCACAGGGTCGCAGTCAGGGCTGACTCGACAGCCCCTAACGACCGCCACCACCACCCAATCCTTACTGAGTTATGAGACCACGGTAAGAAAGGCCACATAAAACCTATCCATTGCACTGTCAACACAAACCGTTTGTGCCGCTCAGAGACCTCTCCAGCCCCAGGCGCCCCAAACTCCTCCTGCCCTTAGTTTCTAAAACCAGGTCCCAACTAAGACCAGCTTGACTGCAGTACCCCCTTACTCCTGAATACAAACAGAATGGTCCCTGAGACCCTAAGACCTGGCCCAGCAGACCGGCCTCTGACCACACTGCCTTAAAATAAGGGCAACCTTGGCCCTCCCGGCGCCATCGTACAATCGATCCACGGGAAAGGCCTGGCTCCAACCCCCTCCAGAGTGGGTACTTGATAACTATAAGTTACCCTCTTCGCACCCCTGAGCTGCAGTCAGAAAGAACGCTCCCCAAAATATCCATTTCAGCTCGACGTGAAGATCGGTGACTTCGCTAGACTTAGCCCACAGCCCGAGGTGATAACAGTGCCAGAGACCCAGGCCACCAGCCCAGATTCCGTTCACACGCCCACCCCCAGGCCTCCCAGTATACAGCGGTGCCGGGTCCTAGCCTCACCCTGCGTGGCCGGACCCCCGACCAATCGCAACGCCCGCAGAAGCTCCCCGAGCAACGACCCGGCGAGGAGCACAGCGGCCTCCGCCTGCCACCCCAGTTCGCTCAGCCGGCCGACCCTGACCTTGCCGCAGCTCAGGGTCGTCCAGCACGTTGTAGGCCGCGTAGTCGCGGACGCCGTGCAGCCGCAGGATCTGCACCACGGCGTTGCTGAAGCCGCACTGGGGCTGCTCCGGCGTCCCCTTGAGGAAGACCACCACCTTATCCTTCTTCACCAGCGCGTCCAGCTGCTCTGCCGAGCGGCCACCCGAGCTGGCCGCCCGACGCAGGCCGCCGCCGCCCGCACTGTGCCCCCAGCGGAGCAGAGCCGCCGCCGCTCGGCCCAGGGATCCGTTCATCCCAGCTCGCTCGCCAGAGCCCTAACTCGACCCGGCCCTTGTCTCACCACCCGGGTGATTCTGCCAATCAGGTCACTCGTCCCGCCCCGGCAGATCGGAGGTGGTCCTTACGCCTGAGCCTCACCTTACAGTCTTTCTATTGGCCGTCGGCATCCGCTTTATCAATTGATTGGAGAAAGTGGATGCCCGTCAGAGTCACGCTCCGAGGTAACAAGAGGCGAAAAGAGAGGCAAGAAGACTTCCTTCCAAGAGCAGCCGGGGCCTCCTGGGATACTGCGGGACGCCTGGGAAAGATGCTGGGCGGAGTTTCGTCCGTTCCGTAGGACGCCGGGAAGGGGTCACTTCCCAGATAAAGGTTCCGGTTCCGGTGTCGGGGCAGTTTAGTTGCTATGACGACGCGGCTGGCTGGCCGGGCCTGCTCCATGCAGTTGGGGTGGTGGCGCGGTTTGGGGCAGGCCCGGGTCCGCTTTTCCCAGCTGAGGTGAGTGTCTCCGGGTGCCGCGCCCTACGGAGGGCCTCGGCCGAGTGCGGTCGTGCGTGGCGGGCAGCGGGGACCGGGCGGGGCTCCCGCACTGCGCCAATGCCTCGTGGCGGCGGCCTCTGGCGCGCGGTTATGTTGCTAAAATAACCTTTTCTTTAAAAGTCTGAAGCGTTTGGCTTGTGTGGTCTCCGCTGGATTGCAGGCTTCGCTGACCTCCCAGCCCAGCTGAGCCTTTGTTTGAGCCTCGGGAAAGGCACGTTGGTGGAGAACTAGGAAACTCATTGGTTCGTTTGTCAAACGTTTCCTGTGTGCTGGGCATGGCGCCAGCGCGGAATCTGCAGGGAGCCCTGGGGCCCAAAGCTCGATGTCGACTGGAGAAATGAGCAGATAAAGCAGCGTGGGTGTGCCGAGGGGAGCCAGAGGCCTCTCTACACCCGTCGCTTGCTCCGTGTCTCCCCCTTTCACTTAGCACCACTCGATGGAGACAGATTCACGTGTGTAGTGAATTTCCTCCCAGGCGCTTGCCTCCATCCAGTCAGCGCCTAGCACAGCGCCGGAACCGGGTGGGTGCTCCTTGGGGAAAGGGTGTCTCCGGAGGGGCGGGCGTCGTGAAGCCGCCGTGATCTGTGGTCTGGGAGGCGCACTGGGTTGGTGGTACCCTCAGCACACCAGACTTGCAGAGAGAGCATACTCCAGAGGAAGCTGAGGCATGGCTGCTCGAGGGCCCGCGGCTCGTGTGCAATGTTCCTCTGACAGCGCCCAGTACTGTTGCCACGGTGATAATGGCTGGGCCGTGTCATTATCTATCAACCAACAGTAAGAGCAGCTTTGCGGTCGAGATATTGTTTAACAGGTGGAGAAGTTTCTGTTGGACACTAAGTACTGCTACAAATTACTTTTTTTTTTTCTCTCGATCGTAAGCTTTTTTTGTAAAAAAAAAAAAAAAAGTGACCTGTTTATGCCCTGCGGGTGCTCCCACTTAAAAGCAGAAAATTAGTGCATGGGCTTGGGGGAGTGCAAGCGACTCTCCCAAGTGCTGGATCAGCGTGAAAGCCGGGCCTATGAACATAAACTCCAGATATGACTCGGAAGTGCTCTTCAGTGATGTGTTTCCACCCCCATCAGTGTGACTGGGTTTTACTAAGTTTCTAACGTAGGCCCAGCGGTGATCAGGTGTTTGAAGAATCTTTTCATTTTACAGATTCACGGATTCCAGGTAAATAAGAGGAGAAAATGCTGCTGGAGGAACCCTGGTGGCGCAGTGGTGAGGCATTTGGCTGCTAACCAGAAGGTTGGTGGTTCGACTCCACCAGCCACTCCTCGGGAGGAAGATGAGCAGTCTGCTTCCCCAAAGATTTTTACAGCCTTGGAAATCCAATGGGGGGTGCTGTGGGTCAGAATCGACTCCATGGCAGTGGATTTGGGGTGGTTGTGGGTTTTTTCATTATGCTGAAGCCTAAGCATTCCTTAACATGCTACTGTAATTATTATAAATTTACCATGTTTTAATAAATGTTATGAAAAATTTAAAAAAAATTTGGAAATAGAGGAAATGATTCCCCAAATCACCTGCCTTTTATCCATGCTTATATTGTAGTAAATTTTCATGTTTGCTTTTTAATAAATGTTGGCAATTTATTTGTTTATTGCCTACCCTGAGCTGTCTTATTCTGCTTTTGTGTGAACTGGGAGAGGGAGAAGAACCTAAAACTAACATTCTGAGTTTCCAGCACCCACAGCAGTAACAGGGAGCGTCATGCCCTTTGCCAAGTGCATCATACGCGTGTCCTGGCGAGTGCAGGTGGTTAGCACTCGGCTACTCATTTAAAGTTTGGGGGTTCATTGCCACCCAGAGACACCTTGGAAGAAAGGCCTGGCTGTCTACTTTGTAAAACATCAGCCATTGCAAACCCTATGGAGCACAGTTCTGCCCTGACACACATGGGGTCACCATGCGTCAATGTTGACACTAATAGTGCACACTGTTGACTTCAGAAGTAAAAATGTTTTCTTAAGTTGTCAGAAGTTTGTTTGAGAATACAGGTATCATTAAAGATGAAGAGTAATCCTTGAGCAGGAGGAAGAATCCAAAACCTTTGGTTTTCAAAATTAGAGTTGCTGGGTATAGTAGAGCATAACAGAGAGTAGGTGAAATGCTGTGGACATGGAGCATGTGGGAAAGTGAGTTGAGCCGGCGCACCTCCCAGGGGCTGACTGGTTGGGTTGACAGCTGAAGGAAGGCAGGAAGGCACGTTATCTGTCTGAAGAAAACAACCAGACCTACGGTGAAGTGTTTGTTGAGCCTGTTCCTGTCTTGGATTTAAAGATTGGATTTCAGAATATTAGCACCAGAGAGCAATGATTTAAGGAATGATTTACCTTCAGTACACACAATGAAAAATCCACCTCTAAGACTGAGAAAACAAGCCCTAAATTAAACATTGAGAGAAAAGAAAGAAAGAAGGGAAGGAAAAAAACCCAGCATTCAGAATATTTCTTGTAAAGCATCAAACTTTTTTTTTAAACTTACTGTGATTTGGCAGATTCGTTTCACATTCAGGGTTCAAACACTGTTTTGTGACACTGGTTACATTGCCCGCGGTGTGGCATCTCACCTCCCACCTCCTCCCTGTGATGACCCTTTCCCTGTGTCCTGCCCGTGCGTTCCTGCCTCCCTGCCTTTCTCCCTGTGCGAATGCTGCCCTTCTGATCAAACCTCTTACGGAAGATTTGGCATTTTGGTTTTGAGGTTTCTCTTGAGACACCTTCTCGTGGAACCATGGTAAAATATACATGTTAAGGAAATAGTTTCCAGAGTCAGCACTGAAGTACAAATGTGTCGGGTGCTGTGAACACTAAGGATGTTCCTGGATCAGTCGGATCTCGGCCTTGTGGACGTCAGTGGGGGGGTGGGGGACGTACTCAGAAACTTGAGAACCCTGAGATTTTGGTCACTGAATGTAATTTAACCCCAAACTGAATTGTCCTGCCATGTAAACATGCTGACTCAGACATCCTAAAAATGTCTGCCTTCATTGCGTTTATTTATAGAAAAGGCTTTACTGTATTTGGTAAAAATCCTCTTTTCTACCCACTGCTCCACGAGCAGATTCCGCACTGAATCCATAGTGAAAACGTGGCTCGGTTGGGATGGCCTTTCCCTGGCTGTCAGTCCCAAATGAAGCAGGGGCTCAGGATGAGGGCCCCCGGTGGGGTTTATCTGAGCGCTCAGGCTGCCTGTGCTCCCACGCCCTGACTTCACATCCAGTCGGTGCTGCAGGTGCTTTGTGCACGTGAATGTGAGATCCAGAAGTGTCCTGGCTGGAGCTGGCCGGAGCATCCTGGAAGTGTCACCGCAGGAGAAAAGTGGCCACTCAGGTTGCAGGACTGGGCCACCAGACCTTACTGAGCGAAAATAATGTCTGAGACCCAGAGGCCCCTAGACCTGAGCCCGCAGTCTTTATTCACCATGCTGACATCTGGTAATCTTAGCACATCCCTGCAGCCCTAGCGTCAATCAATCCCTTAACAACATGACGCTAGAAATAAGTGTGAGAAACCGAGGCAGTGCCCAGCCCTTGGGGAGAATTTTGCTAATCCCTAACAGGAAGATAGAACCGCCCTTTGGATTCTGGCTATACTATCTGACAAGACAGCTGGTTCTATAAATACTTCTCCAGCGATGGGAGTGGCCTCAGCCTTACTAATCACCCTTCCCCACATCTCGAACTTGACCTAGAGACAGGAAGGCAGGCCTCGTTATGGGCACCTTTCCATCTATCACATCGGGCATGCCTGTGCCTCCGCCCTCAGAAGTGATTGTGTACGATGAGAAATGGTGCATGAGACTGGCTTAGTTCAGTCAGCAGATGGAGGGAGGGAGGTGAGCTGGAGGAACACTCAGAAGCAGCATTTTTGACAAGCCCGGATGCCACCAGAGAACCTGCCTCTGCCCTGGGATCTGGAACAGGGATGTGAGGCCAGGGTTTCAGTCCCGTGTCACTAAATACCCATGAGCGCCTTCTGATTCTCCTTGGAATTTTCTGTACACACACAGACACACACACACCATGGTCTCCTTAAGGATATTTTTCTTAAATATCTGTGATGTCTGCCCAAGGCTTTGCCTTGAAGTGATTTCTTTCTTTAAGGGGCAACAGAGATTTAAGGACTCTGCACTCTGTAGGTCCCTGGATGGCACAGACAGTTTGCATTCAACTGCTAACTTGAAAGGTTAGTGGGTCAGACCCATCCACCGGCCCCTTGGAAGGAAGGCCTGGCAGGCTGTTTCCATAGAGATTACAGCCAAGAAAAACCTGTGCTGCTCGGACACACGGGGTCGCCAGAGGTTGAATGGACTCCACAGCAACGGGACTTGTTTTGTTTTCTTACGTGCGCACTATTCTGCCTAAATTATCTGCCCCCAAATTACATCATCTTGTCTGTCTGTTGTGCTGCTTGCTTCGACCCATTTTAATTAACGTCAATTCATCGGAGCCTTGCATTACCCTTAGGATGG